AGTGGATGGATGGATGGATGGATGGATGGATGGATGGATGGATGGATGGATGGATGATTAGCTGTGGCGGCCATCTTGAACTGGGTTGGCTCCAGTTAAATGTGTTGTTGAGGATCAGAACTGGATTATTTGCAGAAATGTCATGAAATATTTTGCTAACAGACTGACGCGTTTAGCAACAAATAGTAAAAGGCATTTCTTAAACCAAGCTCGTGCACATTCAGTTTGCACTCAGGATGTGTGCTGGGATCACCCTCAGCTACTACCACCTGAATATCTGCAGAGTGACAGGCATGTTCATCAGGTCAGCTGGCTGTGGCAGCCATTTTGAATCGTGCTCACTCCACAACTTGCACAGCTGTGCGTGAGGCTTCAGTGCACAACCTGAACACTTTTCATCTGAATCCATCCAGTGGTTCGTGGGATATTTTGCTAACAGACAAGACACACGAACAGCGGCGCTGTCGGGTGGACAAACGCCTTCCGGCGGCGGGCGACGAGCAGCTGCAGCCCGCCTGCTGAGGATCAAACATGTCGGGCGCTGCTTGTTGTCCGCAGCCTCGCGGCTCCCCCGGGTCCTCCCCGCCACGGATCGAGCCCCGCGCGCGCATTTCACGGTAAAACGGTGGAAGCGGCCGCGCTGCTGTCGCCCGCCTCGTCGCTCGTGCCTTACCGTGTCGACGCCTCCCGGCGCGGCGGCTACCAGCGTCTGCACCGGAGGAGGCTGCTCTCCGCGGGCTCCCTCCGACGCCATCTTTCGTCCTGTGGCGGTGCGTTGGAGCGAGCGCGCATCCGGCTCGCTCATCAACCGCTGCGCTACTGGACACGAAGCACGCGCAGAACGGCCATGGAGGAGAAACGGGCGATATGGGACGAGCTGGAGCCTGGGGGGGCTGGGGGGCAGAAGATGGATGTCTCCGTGTTCAGCTCACGAGCCCAATGTTCCTACAGCAGCTGGGAGGGAGGGGGCGGGCCTGTGGGCGTGGCCAGACAGGCGCGTAAAATCCAGATGCGAGGCTCGGTGCACTCCAAGTGGAGGGCCCCCCACAGACAGACTCATCACAGCTGTCCACCTCTGGAGGATGAGAATAAACAAAAATAAATAAAAACAAAAATTAACATTTATGTTCTATTTAACTTGTGACACTTCGAGTTCCTCGTGTTGGATCATTTCTGCTTCTTTCAGCCCAAACGGGCCAGATGTGTTGACGGGTCACACAGAGGCAGACGTGAGAAGATTTTCTGCCATAAAAAACATTTATTCTTCAGTCAAAACAAAACTGAAGGTAACGAGCAGCACAAAGCTCAGGGCAACAAAGTAAAGTCACATTTTTCTCTCCATTAATTTCATCAGGGAAAAGTAAAAGTTTTTCACTCAGTCTAAAAGTACTCTCACAAGTACAATTTTCCCAGAAAGCTACTTGAGTAAATGTAACGGAGTAAATGTTCAAGTTCCTCAATTCAATTCAGTTTATTTCTAAAGCTCCAAGTCACAGAATCATCTCAGGCACTGAACAGAAACATTCAAATATAAAATAATAATTTAACAGAATCATTCAAATATAAAATAATAATTTAACAGAAACATTCATGTATAAAATAATAATTTAACAGAATCATTCATCTATAAAATAATAATTGAACAGAAACATTCATGTATAAAATAATAATTTAACAGAAACATTCATGTATAAAATAATAATTTAACAGGAACATTCGAATATAAAATAATAATTTAACAGAAACATTCATGTATAAAATAATAATTGAACAATATTTATCTGAGGAGCAGCTTTGAGTTTAACTCCATCACTGAACTCTCATGTTGAACAAGCATGAAGGCGACAGTGGAAAGAAAAACTCCCTCATGAGGAAGAAACCTTTAGCAGAACCAGGATCAGGACAAGAGGACCATCTGCTTCGACCGGCTGGGTTTGGTAGGAATAGATACACAATGGCAGGTCAAGAATCACATGTTATGATAGAAATAGTATCAAATGAAAACTATTCAGTTTTAACAATTCATTTAAGGAAATGAGGTCAGTTTGTCCTCTAGTAGTCTAAGTCTATAGCAGCATAACAAGCCGACCCTAACTATAGGATTTATCAAACAGGAAAGAATGATAAATGGACTGTGCCTTTCTATCTTATCGAGATACTCAAAGCTCTTTACAACAATCTGTGCCTTTATTTACCGGTTCTTACGTCTCTCTAGTAGATCTGTACAAAGATAACTGAACAAATCATTTCAATTCTACAAAGAATAATCAGCTTTAGGTCACAGTCAGACACCGATGGGACACACATCGGAGGCAACGAGGGGTTCACTGTCTTGCCCAGGGACACTTCGGCATGTGACTGCTGGTGGAATCGAACCCCCAACTCTTGCATTGGAGGACGACTGCTCTAACCGCTGAGCCACCGCCGCCCTGAATGTAAACTTCATTTCATCACATGTGGTACATGAGGTGGAACCAAGTTATGTACAGGGTCTCAGTGACACCCCGACGTATAAAAAGAAACTGATGAGGATCTAAGATATTTGTTCCACAAACACCAAGCGGTGCGTGAAATGAGCTATAAACGCTAAACACTAATAATGTAAAAGAATACGGCGTAACAGCAGCAGCCTGAACCTGAGTCATTCCATGACGCGCCTGGCCTTACGTAGTGATGAGGGGCAGCAGCTCAGAGGTGGACTCACTCTTCCTGCGCATGGTTTGTGAGACAGAAATAACTTCTTCATCTGAGGAAGACTCCACCCAGCCTAAAGGAAGCGTTCTGCCTTTTTCCAGTTCATAACCCTTTTAAGACAGAAAAAATGTAAATAAATCAAATATTTCCAGAAAAAAGGAAAGTCAGCCGTTCTGTGTGGGAGCTTCTCAGGACCAAATCAAGTTTGACTGCATTAAGAATGTGATCCAGGCTGAGTGCACGGTTCTTTTCTGCAACTGATACTCCGTGCAACCTTTCCAACACCCATCAGACGAGCTGTAAGCTGACCTGTCAAGATTGTTTTAGGCGTTAATCTCTGACGTTCAAACAAAGAGTTCACGTCATTTCTCCCATCCACAGCGTCTGAGTGAGTTTATCGTGAGTGGAATGGACTGAGGGGCTTCATAGACCCTCACATGCATTCACTGACAAATGTGGAAGCAGGGCTAGGATAAAGATGACCTTATACATGTTTGTTGTTTGCCATCGCCGAACGAAGAGGAGGAACTGGAAATACGTGCGTGTTGTGAGCACGACAACTTGAAACATGGGTGAGATACTTCCATGCTGGTGTGCGACAAAACCTACGTATAACAAACGTTGTTTAAAAATGTCTGAGGTTTTCTTGCATTCCCGGATCTGTTCCAGACCAGAAAAACACTCGCCTCCAAAACTACAAACATTTATCAGTGAAATCCCTCAGAGACGGGGGATTCTGGCGTACTGCTCCTTCTGAATTTTAACGCTGCTGCCCAGCTGCCATCAATGGTTTTTCTTGGTAGTTTGACTCATTCTGACCCAAAACCAGCAGAGGGTTTCAGTCTAAAGGCCCAGTGTTCATTCATACTGGTTCTCAGTTCTGTTGATCCCCAAAGGGCCAGGAGAGGACAGGATGAGAGGCCCCCCAGGTCCCAGACGTGCCCTGCAGGATGAACCAGGGCTCATCTAGAATGAGCATCGTTCTTTCTTTAGGTCAAATGTTGCACGCTTGACATTTGCTGTGTGCACACCTGAGGCTACACCTCTGCTGGACCTTCTGAACCACTTCCTGCTCCTGCAGGGTCCCTGACCATGGTACAGTTTCTGCAGGGAGCTTCTCATAATGATGAAACACTGTCATTTGTCAGATTTACACATGAGCACTGCTTTAATTACTCACAAACACACAATTCAACTCAGAGCCACAGAAGGCCGTCATGGTAGTCCACCGGGAAAATTCAGACTTTGGTCTTATGTGTCGAATCTGAAACGGTCTCCGTCCGTGGCAGATCAGCATGAAGAAGCTTTCGTGCTGATCTCATCCCTTCGTGTCCAGCAGACCGTCATGAGCCCGGCTTTATGACGGGGAAGACAAACATGTGGCTTTCCTGCAAGAAAACTGACCGTTCCCCGATGTCCCCGTCTCTGACAGGTTTGGATAGTTTAATTCAGTTCAGTTTATTTCCACAGCATCAAATCACAACAAAGTTGTCTCAGGACACTTTACAGGAACAGTCACAGACATAAGAGCCAATTAGTAAAGTTCTCTCTCTAAGGAGGGAAGGAGTTTAGAGGTGAGTGTTTTTCTGGGCTGGAAATGAACAGGGAATGCAGGTAAACCTACATGTTTTTACTGTAGGATATTCAGGTGGGAGGAGCTACACTGTGGAGAAGAGCAGAGGAAGTTTGTTTTTGTCTGAGGCAAAGCAGAGAGACGGAGCCTGGACAGAGGAGGGAGACGTTTTATCCACCTCCAGGAGCAGTGGAGGAGCCAGAGGGTGGCCAGTGGTGGCCTGGGGGTAACACAGTTTGTACATCAAAACACTGGCATGTCGTCAGCTAAGAAGGCGATGTAGAAAAGTAAAAACAGGAACATGTCTGCATTGGTTTTTCCCAGGTCACTGTGTGAGGAGACGCTGTAACGAGGATTTGTATCGGTGGAGAGGCGGGGGCGATAATATTCAGCCGGACAGTCAAAAACTCACGACCACCCCGAGAACTCCACAGAGTGCCCTTTTATTAAGCACACTCCAAGAACCTTACAAGGCCCGGCTGGACGGCTGCCCTCCCAGGACACAAGAATCAAACATACAACCCGTACGTTCCCTTTGAGTTGGACAATTAAACATGCAGTCCATCTCACGTGCACGTGTCCATCATCTAGCATGCTCCTCCCATAGCTGTCCGCTGAAGGTACACATGTGACATCACTTATCTGTGACTGAAGTTAAGACTGTTGCAACCCTGGACATGTCTGCTGTCCATCACGAGGACACATGGAGACGACTGAGACGACCTACAGACAGTTTAGAGCAGGGGTGTCCAAACTTTTCATTTATGGACCAAAACTCATGAAAAAAGTTCTCCCAGGCCACTAAAACTGGAATTTAGGATATTTTATTTAAAAACTATTCACATTTTTTGTTCTTTGTATATTTTTTGTATCGTCAGCAACAACATGACCAATATGTTGGAGAACGGACAAAAGTTGACTCATTTTAGTGGAGGACTTCAAAATAAAAGCCTCATAAACATCAACTTTATTTCATGTATTTTTTTATTTGCTTGGCCTGTTTTTTAGTTTTCATGTGCTTGGAAAGTTATTTTAGTTTATTCTCAGAAACAAAAGCATAAAATGACTTCTCTTTTGTTTTCAAGGAGGTTGTTCATCGTTTGGAGCATCCATGGTCCAAACGATGAACAAAGTCCTGACGTGGACTCGTCCAGCTGCTGTCACTAAAACTGATTCATAGAAGGTTTGAGGGGACTAATAAATATATTAAATATGTAGATGATACCACTTTATAATTTCTCTCCATCGATTATTAAATCTTCTGTACTTTTCTTCTTTAAAAACACGACACATTTAGCCAAATGTTATGACTTTTTGAATATGAATTGCATTTAAAAACTAATTTTGAAATTATTTTTCCTCTGTCGAACCTGAAAATTACATAAAACAGTTTCACCACTAAATCTCAGAAGGTCTATGTCTGCAGGCCAAAATTATACCATTTTGAAATGGCAGTTGTGGGCTGAACCCTGAGGACCACCAACGTCCCTTGGACCACCTTTGGACACTCCTGGTCTCGAGTTACCAGTTTAACGTGCATGTTTCTCTCTGAACCAGTAAGTTAATCTTTCTTCATGATCTCGACCTTGAATAACGTTTTTATGTTGTGATCCGTTTCTATTCATGTCGACCGTCCA